CTTTACAATTTTATGTTGGTTTCCTGAATTACTGAGTTAAAATTTTTCTCATGGTTCATCTTGCCAGAGTCTCCTGAGGGTATGATATATGATGCACAAGTAATAATATGTTCTAGGGTGTTCATAGAAGCTAATATCAATTATTTGTATTGTAGATCATAGCTTTAGGAATATGATGATTAAAATATTAACTCATAAGAAATTCAAAATAATATCTCATACTGTTTGTCTTTTTTAAAATTATTTGCAAAATATTTCTACTCCTCTGCTATATGTCTAATGGTTGAAAAGTACACATCCCAGACCATATCTTTTGGCCTTTCTTTGCTAGATTGTCATGTTTATCTACTGCATACTTGTGCATATGTACAAGTATAATTTTCTTAGCCTGCTCCTGTCACCAGAATTTGAGGCAAAAATGACAAAACTGAAAAAAGATTTAATATCGGTTAATTAATACATACTTTGGTCTCCTATGTAGGGATAGTTTATGGGTGTTTGCTATGCAGAAACCATATAAATCATTGGGACACACCCCTCCTGCTAGCAGTTCCTCGATTGAAGACACACACCTGATTACACGGTTGCCCCACAACTTCATGCTATTTTCTGCTCAAACCCTTTATGCAAAGTCTCCCTGGATTCATCACTTAGTTTGTTCAAGTAAACTTATTATATCATTATAAAGTATTGTAGAGACATGAGGGGAAAATCTTGGCATAGCAAAAATTTTATTACCCTACAAAGAGAGTACACTTAATGCCTCTCTGATCATTGAAAGTAAATAAAAACTTCATGCTAATATTTTCACATACTTTCCATAAATCAGTAGAGATTAATAGCATTAATATTTTGAGCGCAATAGTAGTCATTACATTGCATGTAAAGAAATCAGAGAGGTTTTAAATGTAAAACATACTTTAAGATAAAAGCAAATATATTTGCGTATAGATCAAAAAATACTTTACCTCACCAAAGATGGGTAACCGCCTCTAAAACAAAGGGAAAATATTTTAATATGGTTATTTATTTGAAATCATCTGTACCCAGATTACCATATTACTGAAGAACTTGCAAAGTCTTATAATTATTACGGTTAATTTTTTTTGAAATGAGTCACCAATATGAATTATTTTTACCATCATTATCATCCTTATATGGTTTTGACCTCAACGGTTGCCTCCGCGAGTTTTATTTTGGCTGGATGGATTTTGGTTTGAA